TAGATAGATAGATAGATAGATAGATAGATAGATAGATAGATAGATAGATAGATAGATAGATAGATAGATAGATAGATAGATATGCTGACAGCTCTCCACAGCTCCTCTGTATTTCCTGTTAACCATCTGTGTGTTCCAGATCATTGAAAAGCACTATGCCCGGTCCCTGGGTGTGTGGTCTGAGAGGTCTGACTCCTCAGTAAATGACACAGAGGACATGAGTTCCTCAGAGACTGGGAAACACCCCTCTGTGGTCATGTACTGGTCCCTGTCAGTGGCCATCTTCTCCATCGGCGGCATGGTGTCCTCCTTCCTGGTGGGGTTTGTAGGAGACTTGAAAGGCAGGTGAGAAAAGGGAGAACAAAGGTAAACTGCAGTCAGTGCAGACTAAACGCCATGGCTCACGACCTGCTGTCAGACACGCACCTCTCCGCTTCTCTGCTCCGCAGGGTGAAGGGGATGCTGATGATCAACGTTCTGGCCGTCGCTGCCGGACTGTTGATGGGTCTCTGCAGGATGTGGAAACCTCACATCATGGTCATCTCAGGCCGTGCAGTCATGGGCTTCTACTGTGGTACATGAACTCATGTGTCCTCGTCGCCTGTGTAGGACTGCAGCTGCAGGGTTGAAAGAATAAAATCATTTCGATTCTGTGTGTCAGGGCTGACATCTGGATTAGTGCCGATGTACATTGGAGAGATAGCACCCAAAGCCTACAGAGGGGCTCTGGGAACTATACACCAGTTGGCTACTGTTATTGGGATCCTAATCAGCCAGGTGAGACACACACACACACACACACACACACACACACACACACACACACACACACACACACACACACACAGACATACAGTAGACATACTTATACAACCTCAGTTCTAGAAAAGTTGGGCTTTAGTTTAAATTGTACCTAAAAAGGATGCAATGATTTGCAAAATGCAGAAACCAACAGTTTATCCACAATAAAACATTGTAAACACTATACATGACTAAGAATTAGAGAAAAATTGCAGGAGTCTGATCTGTTTGACAGTCCTCAACACAAAACCTTCACACAAAGGCATCTGGATGGAAACACAAGTTGTTTCAGATGTGTACTCTGCCAGTGTCATAGGCACTAATGCACCCCCACACCATAAGAGAGGCAGGGTTTTGAACTATGTGCCGATAACTGATTGGATGATCCATCTCCTTTTTAGTTCAGGGGATGTGGCGTTCATGATTTCTAAAACAAATTTAAAGTTTGGTTTTGTTCGACCACAGAACAGTTTTCCTCTTTACCTCAGTTCATTTTAAAAGAGCTTTGGTCCAGAAATGATGGCGTCATTTCTGGATATGGTTTATTGATTTTTATTTTTATTATTTTTTTGCATAATAGAGCTTTAACAATCATTTGTGGATGGCACAGCAAACTGTGTTTCAAAACAATGATCTGTGGAAGTGTCCCTGAACCCATGAGATGATGTCCAGAACAGAATCAGACCTGAGGTCTTGGAGATCCCGAGCATCCAGTGTTGACTTTCAACCTTCTCCTTTGAGTACAGACATTTCTCTAGAGCAGTGGTTCCCAAACTTTTTATCTTCTGACCCTCAAAATATCCATGGCAAAAACTTGTGACCTCAAATATTACTGGTCTGAGTACATAAACTTCATTAATAACCCTAAAAACACAGGCTTTTTGACAATCTAAACAGCTTCTACACAAATAAAATACTTATTTTTACTTATTTTGTGTTTTTGTAACAATTATATCAGCAATTATTTTATTACGCTTTAAATTGATTTCTGGAGATCCCATTCATCCCATTCATGACCCATAATTGGGTCCCAAGCCCAMCTTTGGGAACCAAAGTGCAGTGGTTCCCAAACTTTTCAGCTTTTGACCCACAAAATAACAGTAGCAGAGACCTGTGCCCCCAACTAATTTTGGATGATAAACATTTATATCAGGTCAACAAAACA